GTTCGGTTGAGCTTCTGCTTTCCTGTATGTGGTCAGGGAAGATTGGTTATCAGTAAAGGTCCTTTAAATATCTTTTAAATATCCATTTTTCTTAGCTGTGCTGGCCCTTCTCTTGAACCCTTTTCAAAGGTCTTGTAGCAGAATTAGTGTTATAGAATAGGTGTGTGCATCTCCATGGGTGACCCACATTCCCACCCCCGGTCCAGGATAGTGACCTCTGCACTGCAGGCAAAGCAGGACAGTGTCAGTCTCTTTCCCTTCTGTCTTTGGGGGGGAAGGTTTAAAGCTAAATTGAACTCATTTGTAAGGTTGTATTCCATGTTTCATAGCTGGTAATATTTTTATTGTATCCTGGTCCAATGAGCGTGAAGGTTTTTATTTAGTTTTTCAAGCGTTAGCAGAAGGGGATAGTAGGGATCCGCCAGCCATGTCCTCTGCTTATCAGACTCATCTGTCTATGGTAGCATCCGACACTTCAGAGATTTTTTTTTTTAAGAAACACCTTCAGTTCCTCTCACCAAGATTTCTGTAGAGGTGAGTTATATTGTATGAGATGAATGTGAGCAGCCTTCGTTTGGCTCTTCAGAAGAACTCTGCTTGAATTGAGCCTAGTCTGAGGACACCTTGCAGTCTCTATTTTGGGATTAACTGAATTATCCCCCCCCCAACCCCCAAACACAAACTGGGTTTGGCTTAGATTCATCCAGGATCTATGATTCTATTGGTGGAGTGTGTCCAAGGCAGAAAGGTAGCTAGGAGTGGAGAGAGGAGGCAGAAGCTATGAACTTCCCTCTGCCAAAGGGGGTGTAGAGGGCCATTGCAGTCCAAAGGAAGGATGATGCTAATCTGGAAGGGGATGTGGCCAGGGCAACTGGGAGATAAAATGATTCTGTGCATTCCTCCAAACAATCTTTGCAGGACCTTCTCCTGTGGAGCCCCAGCTATAATCTACAGGGCAGCAAACTAAGGCAGCAATCTCACCAGAGGAAATGGGGCAGGGTGCGTGTGCACGTAACTCCTCTTCCCCAGGCAGAGGCTGGCATAGGAAAGTAGTAACCTAAAATTCACTGTGCCTTTAGTACTGAATCTAGCCCCAGATTGGAAAGTCTTTCAGGACTCATTAGATCTAATGTGGGCAACATTCCAAACTGGCTCACTGTATTCTATTTAAATTATTTGTATGTACATAGATCAAAAGGTGCATTATAGAACAAATACAAATACATGGTCTTAAGATCTAAACTTGGGTCCCATGTGAATGTTCCCCCACCTCCACGTTTCCAATTGGATACAGTAGTCTTCTTAACTGGTTTCTGAAGAGATTGCTGTGTGTTATTGCTGCATTCAGCAGTGAGTGAACTTATGTCTGGCAGTGTATAATTTGTGTTATATAAATAGTGTATGGTTTATTAATATCTACTTTTTTTTGGTGCTGCTTGTAGCAGAATCCAGGAGGCAATGGAAAAAGCCATTTTGTCACAGGTAAAATATTCAGGGCATTGATCACACTGCAGAAACCCCACTAGGCAATTGACAGGGTGGCACTTGCGTGGCCTGTGCCGTATTTGTCAGGCAAAGTCTTTAGTTTCTGTGTGCTTCAGTGAACCGTGACAAAGTTACCAGCTTGAATTCTTTCTTCCTTGATTAAACTGTGTGAAACTGCCATATGGATCCAATTTCATGAGTCTCAGGTTCAAATGTTAGGCTGAATTTGTGTTCTGAGTAGTAGCGAGAAGTCTTCTTGAGCCACATTTCCCCCAGCCCTGATCTAGAAGTAACATCTTTAGTACTGGTGGGAGTCTCTGTAAAAAGAACTTGTTCCAAACAGAGAAGCAATGTTTTATTGTTTTGGATGAATCATTGCTACAGAATTCTGTGCTCTCTGTATGTGTACATAGGAACATAACGCTATAGGAACATAATATTAGTTAAGTCCTAGTACTCATCTTGGCCTTGCCTAGAGTAGGGTTTAAAGGCGTAATGTTAGCCTGCATTAGCTAATGTGCTAACATCATTCTTTAAATCATAGTTTGGACAAAGCCTTGGGAAACAAGTTAGAAGTCATGACAAACTAGGTTGAACTTCATTATATGTTGTGGGGGGTGGGGATGATACTATTTATCCTGCCTGACAGTAATGACAATACTGAAACTATCCAACTCCTGGCTTTGTGTGAATTGCAGCTCAGTCATTGAAAAGCTATTGCTCTGTTTCCCCAGGAGAACTAGTGCCTTCTCTTTCTCTCTCCAGAACACTAGTTGTAAATGCGTTTAGTTTTTAACACGGAGCAGTGAGAAGTGCTGAACCCAGAAGAGTGAGAGTATGCCTACACTGGAGCCTGAAAGTGTCATTTCCAGCTGGCAGAGATATACCTGCGCTTCATTTGATAGAGCTAGCATGCTAAAAACGGTAGCGTAGCCACAGCAGTGTGTGCAGTAGGAGGGGCTCGACACACAAGTATGTACCTAGGATCTCCGATGGGATTGTGCTTGGGACAACTAGCCCCTCCTGCACCTTACACCACTGGTATAGCTACACTTCCATTTTTAGCATGCTAGCACAGAGCTAGCATGGATGTGTCTTCGTAAGATTGAAATGATACTTCCAGCTCCAGAGAGAGACAGGCTGTGACGCTGTTTGGGAGTGTCTGAGGTGAATTGGTACCACCTGCTTACAATGGGAGGGAGCCCACTCTGTGCCCACCGGGGAAATGCTCCTCACCCACTGGCTGCTGGTAACACAGGTGTTTCATTCCGGGCTCCATGAGCCCCACTCTTTCCTCCTGCAGACTAGCAGTTTTCACCCCACTTAGGGCACAGAATATGAGAGTGTAACAATCTTCTGGACACCCTGGGGTTCGTTTTTCTTTGTAAGTTTCTGCCCTGTATCTTGTCTAGACAGTAAACATAGGCTTTCTCTACAGATGTTCATTGTTCTCATGTTGACTGGGTCAACAATCAGACTCCCCTTTCTCAGGTGGTAGGTTTCACTCCCAACGGATCTGGATCATACTAGTGCATATGTTACACTAAAGTCTAAAATTGTTTTCTGTACAAACATCTCGCAATAACCATGACAATCAGCTAGTTCTTATCTTTCAGCAGAGACCTGTACACCTGACCCCCATTGGGGAAATATGGAGAAGGTGGTCAGGCGCAGAGGTATTAATATCTGCCTTGGCCTATCTGTGTTACACAGGTCCTCTCTTAAATTTTGCATTCCTTTACAATATTTATCTACTGTTATCGTGGGTGGCCCAAATAATATCTGAAAGAAATTAGGGGACTTGCTGTGTCTATTTTTAGTTTGTTTACTCTGTACATTTGATGACACTTTGTTTTATAGTCCATTTCTCAGTTTCTTGTGTTGTCTGTTGATGTGTGAAAGATGCATTGGAGACAAAAACACATAGCTAAAAAAATCACAAACTGACTCTAGTGTAGTACCTGCCCCATACTTTTAATCAAATCAGTTTTACACTAACCCACCTTTCTGTCTAGCATTATTATTGGATTCTTTTTTTCCCTCTAGTTGCGTGCTAACACCTGCCTTTTTGTAAGAGATTGATTCTGTGACCCCATGTGAAGTCTAACATGGTCTGTAAAACTATAGCTGCACCGTATCTGAGGGGAGGAGGGAACATCATCTGCAGCAGATTCCGCCAGCCTCTTGTTGCTCCAGGCCTGCTGCCAGTTTTGTGTGCGTATGTGTGTATGTGTTTCAGATAGTCTTATTGCTGGCACGACTTGCTCACGTGGTCTTGATTTACATGAGGGTGTTACGCTGTTGATGACAAGGAAGAGATGTGCCTCCCAGTGAAGAGCGTGACTGGCAAAAGCTTCAATTAACCCTCTAGCAAATTGCCTGAAAATGGATCATATACGATTATTTCTGCATCATTACTGTTGTCTCCCATGACTCACAGAGCCATATATAGCAGCTCTTCTTCTGAGGAGAAATTTTATCCCTAGCAAAGAGGATGTGAAAACAAATACTAAATGTCAAACTGTTGTCAGATTTGTATTAGATTTTCTTTTTTTTTTTTTTAGTGGTGGATAAAACTGTAGCATGGCTTGAACACCAGATAAAAAAATATAGTTATTGCTTTCTATTTCTAGTAAATGGACAGTGCCACGCTAAAAATCTTCACGGATTTTTCCCCCCTCCCCAGCCTTGTATTTTTAAATAATAACACACAATAGATTATTTTTAACTGGGAGGTGGGGGAGGAAATACATTTTTACTTTGGGCTTCATCCCCCCCCCACTTCTCTCATTTTGGGCAATCAGAACATATTTGGCTGCTGCAGTATTTGGATTGCAAATATTGCAAAGGAAATTTATTTGTGAGGGTTTTTTTATTAAGATGCCTCCATTGGATTAACCCTTTGCCACCAAAATAAAATCTCAAAAATAATCATTTCTCATGGTCTTGAGTTTCGTAAAAGCTTGTGAAATTTAAATCTGGGGGCAAACAGTGTTCGTTCACCCACCTGCCAGAAAAGACCCTGGAAAAGATTTGGGGATCATAGTGAATAATCAGCTGAACTTGAGCTCCCAGTGCAATGCTATGGCCAAAAGGGCTAATGTGAGTGATCCTTGGATATAAATAGGGGATATAAATAGGGGAATTTGTGATCCTTGGATATAAATAGAGAATTCTTGAGTAAAAGTAGCCAGGTTAGTCAATCTCTGTATTTGGCACTGGTGCGACTGCTGCTAGAATACTGGGTCCAGTTCTGGTGCCCACAATTCAAGAAGAGCATTGATTAATTGGAGAGGGTTCAGAGAAGAGCCATGAGAATGATTAGAGGCTTAGAAAACATGCCTTATAGTGATAGACTCAAGGAGCTCAGTCTGCGTAGAAAGAGAAGGTTAAGAGGTCTATTGATTACAATCTAAGTACCTGTATGAGGAACAAATATTTGATAATGGGCTCTTCAGTCTAGCCCTTGGGGTCTGCACAACGACCCACTTTGTCACTGTGGTCTCCGTCAGACAATGGCGCTTGCTATCGACAAATGTCAACTGACTAGATTTCATGGTGGCCTTCGGGCCCTTCATTGTGCTGATGAAACTGCTGTTGGGTGGGTCAGCAAGCATTGAAATGCTAAAAGAAGGAGAATCTAGCCCTTCAATCTAGCACAATCCAATGGCTGGAAGTTGAGGGTAGACATATTCAGATTGGAAATAAGTTATAGATTTTTAATAGAGAGGGTAATTGACCATTGGAACAATTTACCAAGGGTTGTGGTGATTCTCCATCACTGGCAATTTTAAAATCAAGATGGGATTTATTTATTTTTTAAAGATATGCTCTAGTTCAAACAGAAACTATTTGGGGAAAGTTCTATGACCTGTGCTATACAGTAGATCAGACTAGATGATCACAGCCGTCTTGTCTGCCTGTGGCGGGGCAAAGACTCACTGGTGCAGCGCCTCCTGCTGGTTGTCTCGGGAATTAGCTCTTTCCAGCCCGGAGCGCCCCCTGCAGACCAGTGTCTCGCCTGCTGCTGGCCCCGTGTCCCTCCCAGACCCGGGGCCCTTTGCCCTGGGGTTCTGCCCCAGCAGTAACCCCCAATCTGGGTCTCCCCTCCCTGTGGAACCCCCAACCCTCTAAACCCACCTTGCCTCAGTGGCTACTGCCAGTCATCATCTAGCCCCCGCTCCCTGGGGCAGACGGCAGTCTGTAAACCACTCATCGTCAGCAAGGGGGTTGGACCAGCTGCCTCTGCCTATTCCTGGGCTACCCCTCTGCAATCTTAGTACCCTTTTGTGGGCCCTTAACTCGGCCTGCAGCCTGGGGCTTAGCTAGGCTGGAGCTCCCCAGCTCCCTCTGCCCTTCCCCAGCACTGCTCCACTCTAGGTACCCTCCTCAACTTCCCAGGCAGCCAGATCCTTCTCTCTCTAGGGAGCTAGAGACAGTGTATCTGGCCCTCAGCCCTCTTATAGGGCCAACTGTGGCCTGATTGGGGCGTGGCCCCACCTGTGGCTGCTTCCCCTAATCAGCCTTGCATTTCACCACCACAGCCCTCTCCAGGGCTGCTTTAGCCCCGTCAGGGCAGGAGCGGGGGGACTACCCCGCTATAATGCCCTTAAAATCTATGAAAAAGTTTTTGTCCCCCCCCCTCCCCCCTGAACCATGAGAACTCTTTTCCTCACACCCTCCATTACCCCCTCTCATTTTATGTTCATTTGGCCCCTTGAATTGTAGTTGTGGCATTGCCTGGACAAGACTTACTTCAGACCCTAAGAATGCTGTTCTATTAGCTTCTGCCTGCTGGCCTTCTGGCGAATCTTCTCTTTCAGATATGGAGCTCCACTTTTCTGGTGGGTCCATCGTGTGTCTCTCTCCATGCCCCTTCCTTTACTAAAGATATTTAACACTGGTTACTCAGCTCTTACTTTAAATCACATTCTAAGCTTCTAAATGTGTAACAGACCATGGTAACCTTTGTCTTCCATTTTATGATATGAGTGGCATTCTGAGGAAAGTTCTGTTTTAATAATAATAGTGTTCCTTTATTCTGTGTTGCAGGTTCTGGGATTTGAAGTTGATCCTGTGAATTCTGTCCAGTTTTCAAACCACACAGGTAAATACACACGCATACTCTTGAAGTACTATTGTGCATCCACTCCGGTGACTTTAGGCCTACCAAACACTCATTCAGCCTGATTGCATGTTATTGGGAAGAAGCTCAATCATTCTGTGATCTCTTCCTTTTGGATTCAAGACAGGACAACAATGTTCAAGGCTTGAGCCAAAGCCCATTGAATTCAATAGGCTTTGAATAAAGGACTAAATCTAAGGGCTGGTCTAAAGTGCCAAAAGTTACATCAGCATAGCTACGGCTCTGAGGTGTGAAAAGTTTGCACCCCTGAGCGATGTAGTTAAGCGGACCTAAGTCCCTGTGTAGACAGTGCTAGGTTGGCAGAAGAATTCATCCTTTGACCTAGCTACTGCTTCTCAGGGAGGTGGATTTACAACGGCGACGGGAGAACCCATCTTGTTGCTGTAGTAAATAGCTACACGGAAGTGCTACAACTGCAGTTTTTAAAATGTAGACATAGCTTAAATGTAATGCGTTCCATTCTGCTACTTAAGGGTGGATAGATTTTTTTGTTTGTTAGCCAATTTATAAGAAATAAAACTGCATAAGGAGAAGTCATGTCAATATAAGACATTAGGCAGTGAACTAGAACACAAATACTGCATCACCAGAGTGGAGGAATCTCCAGAAGTGGCACTTGTACAGTGAGTCACTTGCCTCTTTTATTGTTATTCCATTATTGCTAACCTCAAACACTCAAAAATCCTGAGCAGGACCCCCCAAAATATGAGTGGCTTAAAATGGTGTATTATTTTTTAAAGTAATACAATTTGGGTTCATATTTGCTTTCTGGTTGGTGAGCCTTTTGGGTGCATTTCTGTCACATTTTCAAGCTTTTCTCTGCATCCGTGAGGGCTAGAAACTTTTTAAAAATGAAATAAATAAATAAATAAATGGAGATATCCCATCTCCTAGAACTGGAAGGGACCTTGAAAGGTCATCGAGTCCAGCCCCCTGCCTTCACTAGCAGGACCAAGTACTGATTTTTGCCCCAGATCCCCAAATGGCCCCCTCAAGGATTGAACTCACAACCCTGGGTTTAGCAGGCCAATGCTCAAACCACTGAGCTATCCCTCCTCCCTGTTTAGATTCTCGCATAAGAGAAAGTTTAGATTCTCGCATAATCTAATGATTCCACTCACTGGGGCTTGAAGAGAAACACCAGTATTGTGAGAGTTGCTATAACAATTTTGAGAGCTGGCAACAGTGGCTCTTTAGGTTTCTCTTTCTTATGCTTTGTTGTGCATAATTTAGTAGAAAAATCCCTACCAACTGCAGGTGGTATCAGAGCATTTAAGAGCATATAAACTATGGACAAAGAGAATTCTTAGCTTTTTTTTAGAAAGTTATTTGTTTTAACTAGGACTGTCAAGCAATTAAAAAAAAATCTCAATTAATCATGTGATTAAAAAAATTAATCGCGCACAGTTAAACAATAATAGAATACTATTTATTTAAATATTTTGGATGTTTTCTACATTTTCAAATATATCGATTTCTATTATAACACAGAATACAAAGTGCACAGTGCTCACTTTATATTTATTTTTTATTACAAATATTTGCACTGTAAAAAACAAAAGAAATAGTATTTTTCAATTCACCTAATACAAGTTGCCTTTGACCAGTACAAAATACTCTCGCATTGCTAGAGTCCAAAAGCCACAGAGCTGATTTAAATTCCTTTCACACTTTTGGTGCAATAATGTTTTTCAGTATTTTGATAACTTGATAAAATGGTTGTAAACTCCAGAAATGTAGATGGTCACAGATTTGCTTGCAATAGCTAGCTAAATGTTTATAGTTGATGGGGATTTCATCTATGTTTTTTTTTTTTTTTTTTATTGCTTTTGTTTCAAGAATAAATTAATTGTATGGAGTGTTAAGAGATTGAGATTTTAATTAGTCCATAAAGTTAAAGGGAAGCTGTTCTGAAGGCCAGCACATTAAATTATCAATAGCATGATCAGGTTATTGAAATGGACACAGGGATATTAGTTTTTTTAGTAGTGTCACCAAAGGATTTGGAAAGGTTTGCCAGCGGGGGGGATTGGCCACGTGGGAGGTTTGGCAGCTATTGGTGATTGTGGGAGGAGCAACAAATTAGCGGTTCTTTTTTCTAAAAGGGCAAAGTACTGACCATCCCAAGAGCTCAAAATAATGAGACTGCCTTTAGAATCATGAGATTAAAAAAACGCAACTTTTTTTTTTTTTTTAATAATTTGCCTTCTGGTGTTTGAGCCATGCATGCATATGTGTGCACACAGTCAAATGCAGATAACCAAGTGCACAGCGCCTTTGTTGTTGTAGGGAAAGCAGCGCTGATTGCCAAGTTAGTTTACTATTTGTATATTGTAGCAATTTTCCAGAGTCAAATGTTGCACTGAATGAAGTGAGGAAGATCAGAGTTGCCTTTTCTTACAGGCAAAGATCTTGAGAGTCCATTCAGCTGCACTGTTGTGAGAAAGGCAAATGGCTGAACTTCTGTTGAAGAGCTGACAGCTGCTTTTTTTGTGAAGTTACAAGGGAGTGCTACATCCTAGAGAGGACAGATAACAGTGTGTGTGTGTGTGATTTATATACGTATAGGGGGGAAAGTCCACTGTGACATTTTAGATCCTGTATTCTTTCAGTCCCTCTCTCTCTTTTCTCGCCCTTCCTTTTCTTTTAAGCTTGGTCTTGTTATCTCTCTTTGTATTTTGTCATTTGTTATCAACTAACGGGTCTGATCTTCTGAATCATGCTTGCCATTTTTGTTTTCATTTTCAATCAATAAAACAAAAGATTATTATTGCCAACTACTGCTCAGAAAATGCAGCTTTCTATAGTCTCTGGCGATCCTGAAATACAAGGTAGTGTTTTTAATCAAAAACCCCAGGAAGCAGTTTGCCATGTTGCCTGGTGAGGAGTATTTCCTGTATGATTACAGTAAGTGACTCACCTTCAAACGACATTGTGCTTCATGCGCGCATAAAGAAACTGTCACACGGTTTACAAAGATTCTCTCTCTCTCTCTCTCTCGCTCTTTTTTTTTTTTTTGGTTGGTCCAACAACCCCCTTCCTATGTAAGAATGCAAATCTAGTTTGGAGGGCTTTATTTAGCATTTAAAAAAAAATCCTTGTATGCTGCTTTCCTTTCTAGAAGTGATTGGCAGATTAGCTGGCAGAATGTATTTAATGTGCTTTTTTTTTGGTCACTCTGAATCCCATGCCTGAAACTGTTCCAGAGAAATAGCCTGTATTTTAAAGGCAAGGAACTTTTGACTTCCACAGTAAGGGAGTTAGGTTCTGTGGTTTTCTTGGTAGCTCTGGTCTGTGATACATTCTAATAGTGCCTTACCCATCTTTCTCTCCCCTGTGTCACAGCATCCCTCCATGCCTGCAGCTACAGACTGAGAAACTCTGTGCTAGAGTTTTGGGCCGAGTGTACACTGTGAATTACAGTGTGGCAAGCCAGGGTGTGAATCTGCTGTGCGTCTGCTTGCCGCACAGTAGTGTCCCATGCGGACACTACAACAGCATACTGAAAACCCCAGGGTGCGGCTTTGCGTACTGCTGTTTGAAAGTGTAGTCACTAAACCACGCTCTGGGACTTTTGCTGCACTGTAGCAGTGTTCACACGAGAGGTTATTGTGTGTCTAGCAGGTGTGCTGTACATTCACACCCTGGCTTGCTGCGCAATAACTTGCTGTGTAGATGAGCCCTAAGTGATTTAACAGAATTCCCTGATGAATTGTGTCAGAGCTGGGGATAAACTCAGATCTCCTGCCTGCCATGTGTCATAAACACAAGATCTTCTTTCCGCCTTAAAGGCTTTCTAAAGATTCTTGCTTTCACTCAAGCCACTCAGTACAATTTTGGGGAACATTAGAGGAGAAACTCAGGCTTCAGAATAATGTGTGTGTAGTGGGATAGGGGGTGGGGGTGGAAAGAAGGGGGAAAACAGCAGAGATTCACATATCTCTTTTCAAGAAATATATATTTATAACTGTCTTGTCCCTGAAAAAATTCTGTTCCCCCAGAAGGGTGTGGGGGATGGTTTGGTTTGGTTTTGAGTTTTATAATGCAATTCCCAAGTTTATAAGTAAGTTTTTAAAGAAGAAAAAGTGGTGGAGGGCAAAATATGTGCAAAAGCTTCATTGGCATATTCCCTTTTTAATCCAGATGGGTTAACCTGGTCCCTTCCTTGGAGAGGCATGACTTCACACATCATGACGGGGTTGAAGGGCAAGAGACATTGCACACCAAGATACTTCTGTGGCTTAAAAATAAATCTGGAATATAAGGAGTTTCAAAAAGAAATCACACCCAGATGAAAGGAAAGGCTATAAAAGCACTTTGCTTTTACATTAAAGAAAGAATGAGAGAGACTTATACCATTGACTTGAGCTGGATACCATCTGGAGAAGTTTACTGCAAACTTTCCCAAACAGCTCTGCAAATGTAGTCTTCTATCTTGTTTTGCAATGTTCTGCTGTTCCAGTCCTGGGTTTGACTTGAGCAGAAACTTCTGATTAAGCAAAATTGTGTGGTGGTTTTGTAACATTAACAACAGGAAATTAAGATGAGAGGGCTCATGTTTTCCTTTCTGGAGAATGTTAGCCAGGAATTGAATTTGACTTCCAAAGATAAACGGTTAGTACACTGACCTAGTCACTGCCGACCCAGCACCCCCTGATGTTATCAGTGTAGTGCAGTCTGCCCTAGTGTTGTGCAATCATTTTTCTAAGTACACATTGTTTATTATCTAAGCTTTCTTGGCTCCTCTTTTTATATGAAGTGCATAAATAGTCAAGTAATGTGCAACCTTGAACTTTCTTATTGCTAAGTGCCAAAATATAAATATTATTTCATGGTAGGGCTATGGCACGTAGGTGGATGAACTACAGCATGTACACAAATAAATGGTTTTGCTTTCTTTTGCAGTTCACCACATTTTCAATATATTTAATGAAACAATAATAGGGGTAATGATTGCCATGAGTTGATTATCCCTTGGACCTTATGAGGCATGAAATCTAATTCTAAATCTGTGCCTTCAGTTACCCTGACGTGAGATGGCCTTCTGGCTGGTCAAGGGAGACCCTGATTGCCATGATGAAATACTTGGACAAAAAAAAGTTACTTTTCCCCGAGAAAGCAGATCAGAAAGCCACAGAGTAATTTTGCTTAACTCTGCAACTTTTCATCACTTTACCTGCTTAAAGCACCAGGTCTGTCCAAAGCATGTATACAATGCAAATTATCTCTGCCACGAGGACCAGGCAGATATGATAGTATCTGCTCCGTGGACTATAGGAGTTAGCAACCAATCCTGAATGAGACTGACGAGACACACTGTTTTCTTGTAGCAACTTTTCAGATAGGCCGTTAATCTTGAATGTACCATACACAAATTCATATGCCCATTTGACAGTTTCCTTTTGAATTGGCATATTAAACGGTCACTATTTTGCACCCTGAGCTTTGGGTCATAATGTCACCTTCACCAAGTTTGTGGTCAGCGTGGTATCAGCACAACTTCCTCAGCTGGGACTCTTGAATTTTCCAAACGGATACAATATGCAGTGCACTGAATACAGGGTTGATTGAAGAATTGCACTAAAGGCATCTCTAGACTAGATTGGGGAATATAGTCCTGTTTAAAAATGTGACTAGTGTGTACAGGGTTTGGTAACTTTAAAATGTGTTAGCTGGTTGTGGGCAAACCTAAGTTTCCCTGCCCCCTGCCTCCCATGAGCAGCTAATCCATTCTTAAAGATGTTGAAACCCTGTTGTAACAGGGCACTTTGCCCAATGAGCTGGAGAGCCAGGGACTATGCTGGCCCTGATTACAGGATGAGCCACTCCTGGGTTGAATCCGCTGCTTTAATATAAAAGGCAACAGGAAACTGCAGCATGTGGCTGATGGAGAAAGTGACTGGGGGTGCCAGGAAGCCTGACCAAAGCAGGATAAAACTCCCAAGGCAGGGAGGCCTGGGAGAGACCCTGCCCAAGAAGCAGGAGAGAGACTGACAGACGCTCAGAAAAGGAGGGGCTGTGCCCAGTTGACACTATGTAAGTTTGTGTTTAGTTTCTCAAAGATGCTGTTATTTTGGGCTGTCGGGTGAGAGACTGGAGGACCAGTATGTACCCAGAAGAGTAAATAAATGGGACTGCTTGTTGGGTCTGTCTTGAATTTCTTTTGAACTGGATGAGTTCTTAAAGGGGCCTTGCCGAGGGAGAGAAAGAGGCAGGAGTCAGCCATAACCTTACACCCATCAACACTAGTGTTTAAAAATATTAGTTAAGATACGTTAAGTCTGTGTTTTTAAAAAGTGTTAGTTATCTTCCTGGTCCAAACCTGGCCTGGCGAATGGTGGTGGTAGCCACTCTGTGGTTTGTCTTGCACGTGGTGCTAGTCTTCACTTTTGTCCCTGCAGATGCTGCCTCTTCAGACCAAATTCTCAGTGAACATGGCAGTTTAACAGCTTATTATTTTATTTCATTGAGGGAGTTGGCTTTTTTCCTATATGCTCTTTCTTCAAAGGAAAAGCTTGAGTTTCTTTCCAGGGTTGCTCCTAAGGAGTGAGCTGCATTTTTTTTTTTTTTTTTTTAATTTCATGCTCTGCTAAAAATGGCTGAGGCCAGTAGCCTCCCTTCAGTCACATCCCAGATGAGCAGCATTTTGTCTCCTGACCCTTCTGCAGACCAGAGTCTACTTGCTTGTGCACAAACTCAGTGGTAGGATAGCAGCTGTTGCCAAAACTAGACATCAAAACAGCATCCTGTATCTTTTTGGCTGCAAATACAGAATTATATTTTGTTCCCTTTTATAACTATACTAATGAGACCCCTTCAGTATATAGTGTTTCAGGCCATAGGTCAAATCCTCACCTGAAGCATAGGATCGAGTTTTGGCGGGAGGTGTGCTCAGGTGGCATAATGCCTAACTCATGGGATGCTGTGCAGAGCTGGCAGCTAAAGCAGCCCGAGTGATCTTCTGACTTATAGTGGCTGCCAGTGGCCCACAAGGGCCAAAACTGCAGTCTGAGATCCATGTGGTGGAGAGGAATCTTGGCCATGTAGACATATGTATACTGGGTACATGCTGCCTTAAAGATCCCAGAGGCCTGATTCAGTGTCCATTGAAGTCAACTGAACTCTTTCTTTCCATTGACTGCAATGGGTGCTGAGCCAAGTCTCAAATACATACTTATAACTCTTAGACCTTTCTGGGGATAAGAGTGCATGGAAAGTTATTTCTTTGCTCATAATAGTCATTCCTGAAGCCCTACTGATACCCACAGGGCCGTTCCAAAATCCCCCAAATCCTGCTACTTGAAATAAAGTCACTGTAATGGAACGCTGTCATAGGATGTTCCTTCACCATAGGATTTCAGCTAACACATACCAAATGAAGGGTATTTTATCTGATGTGGGGTGCAATGGAGTGTGGCAGTTGCTCGCTGTATAACTTTTGTATAGCTGTGTTCTGATAGACTGAAGCACATAAGTCTGTTTGCTAAACTAAATGGAGAACCTCTTTTCCACTATAATGCAGTGAGGCTAGAGGACCTAGCACATAGAGAGAAAGAGAGAGAGATTGTGTGTGTGCGCGTGCATGCTAGATTCTGAGTGGCTGCAATGTGCAGAGTTTATTCTCCACAAATACGTCTGTTATCAAGCTGTCTGGCTGCTGTCAGGTTGCACTGGTATAATATGAAATAAAAGAAGTTATATTAATAATCTAAGAAAACTAAAACTAATCTCTGACCTCCAGGTCAGGGCTGGTTGGTGAAGGCTGTAGAGGGGAAAGCTTGCATTCTCTGCTTGTATATTACCTGCTTTGCTGATACATGCAGAACTTGAGTCTCTAGAGTGGTCAGGATGGCCCCTTTAACAAACAATTCCTTTTCAGAAGGATAAGAGAGTTAAGAGAATGCTGAGAATGTAACTGTTCTGTTAACAACTCATCTGTCTAATTTTTGACAGCAACACTATTTTTGGGGGTGAAGGGGGAGCCAATTCCTGCATGTATAATATGTGATCCTAAATATAAAATGAGGCTTTGATAAACCATTTGGCTTTCCTTTTTCAGGTTATGCTCATTGGAAGGGTCAGATGTTAAATTCAGCTGAACTCAATGAGTTGTATGAAGGACTTAAACTGAACAATGTCAACCACTATGACTACGTACTCACAGGTAGGTGCTCGTGTTTCTTTGGAGAGCCCATGATATTTACACAAGGGTAAAAGTGATAACCCAAGTCCTTGCCTTTTTCAAAACCAGTTAATTACATTCTCCCTCCTCAAATTCCTCCTACAGCTGGATACTGTATTCTTTAGCTGCTTATGCTGTACATTCTGAAACAGGTGCTCTGTTCCAGCCCAAAGGTGGCTGTATTGTAATGGAATGGGGAATGCAATCCCTGAATATGGGTTTGGGTAAGTGTTAATGTGCTGTGTGATAGTCTAATGAAAGGAGCAATAGAAATGCAGAGTATTATTTTTATATATATTATGGTATGAAGATGTAAGGATTTAAACTCCTAAAATCTGCAGTGATGCAACTTTATGGTTTAAATCACTGGATTTTATCATCCTTTTTTTATACATGGTGTGCTCTGGGGGGATTTTTTCTTGATCTTTGTGAATGGTAGTGTTTTGAGCACAGGGTGGAGAGTCAGAACACCTGGGTTCTATTCTCAACCCTGTTGTATTTCTCAAGCTTTGCTCTTGTTGATATGATGTTCCTTTTAACCTTTCATGAGTGTGCAGCCTCATACCATATAGTGACGTGCAGTATCTTCTTTCACTTACCACAGTGGCGCTATCTATCGATCGATCTAATCTAACGTGTGTGTGTGTGTGTGTGTGTGTGTGTGTGTGTATACCTATATAGACAAGGAACCCCTGTATGAGGTGGTTTAAAAGGGAAGATAGGCAGTCTGTAATAAAAGCTGCACACCCATCAAAGTATCCAGTCTCCTGCTCTATCAGGGTAGTTTATAAATAGCATCCACTTCACTGAGTGCAGTGCATCTATTTTAAATTTCGTTGCCTGTATTTCTTATAGCAGTGAGCTGTTGCTTCTAAAACTCAAGCAGAAATTGATTGCCAGATTGATTGATTACATGACTTCCGCATGTAGGGAGGTGTTTTTAAAGGCAGGAATAACAGGAGACTTTAATTGTATGGATCTGGGATTATGACCCATAACTACCACTCGGGCATGAAGGGTACTGCATGTCTGCTGAATTATTTCCCTTCCTGTTTCTATGGAGCTCTCCAAGGTAAAGGAGATATTAAATAGCACACGGAATGAGGTGACACTAATGTGGTAATGAATATCAGCATAAATGGGTTCCATTTGGTTGGGAGGCACATGCATGTATTATTTTTCCTGAGTGAAGGGTTAGTCTGCAGCCATGTAGAATAATTTCCCAGGAAAAACAGAATGTACTGCAAGATTTTTCCAGAAGATTATTCTTCAGACATTTTACTGTCCATGAAACAATCTGGAGGCATTTCCTTTTTACAGGAGTGTCTGCAGCATGTAAAACACTTTATATTTTTTTATATTTTTTAATTGATAACAGTGCCTCTTGTATTCCAGACAGGGCCAATCGGGGGGGCGGGAGGGCCATTTGGCCTGGGCCTCAAACTCAAAGGGGGCCTCAAATTTAGACACTTGTTAATTTTTTGGCAAATAAGAGATGTGATTTGGTAAAAGTCAATTTTTTTGCACAGAAAAAGGCTAGAAAAACATTGGTTAAATAAAAAAATATTCAGATTATGTCTCACTCTTGTTTTGGTGCTTTATTTTGTTTTCATGTGTCATTTTTTTATTTTTATTATGGCTAGGGGCCTCAAAAGCTAGAAGTGGCCCGGGCCCCTCTGGACCTCTGAGAAGGCCTGATTCTGGATAGCACTTTACAGGGTGATGAGCTAGGATACTTGGGGCCAAATTCAGAGAAAGTGGGGTGCAACTCTGTTGAAGTGAATGGGATTGCACCTGCTTATATCAAGTCTGTTTGGCCCTGTCAGTGCTGACTGTATATATGCAAAAATGGCAGCAGTTGTATATTTATCTTTTATATTCATTCCCAGCCTTGGACATTAGAGCCTGTTTTTTCTGAGAGTGGAATGTTGGCCTGGTTGCTGGAGGCTTATATCTTCCTCCACAGCTTCCCAAAATTTGGTACATGGACCACTGGTGGTCTGCAGTGTATTTGCTCATGGTCAGGCGAGAGCTTGTTGATTGGACAATGCTGACTTTCCCAAGTGCTAAATCACCTTAAAAGGCAGCTATAAAAATGTATTGCTCATTTATATTATTTTCCGCTGTAAGCAAGTCTATTTTTGCAATTGTGAATTAGAAATGAAGTGGTCCCTGTGACTGTCCTCTGTCTAATAAGGTGTGGACCACACTATCGACAAGTTTGAGAACCTCTGCCTTGCTCTTTGCAAACAGTGCCCTGTGATTAGAGCTTGTCAAAAATTCTTGAATGAAAAATATTTTAATAAAAAATTGGATTTTTTTTTGAAATTTTCAACAATGCTCAGTTCCCCCCCCCCCAACAAAACATGAGAAGTTTTTAGTTTTCCTCCCTCCCCCCTTTTCAGTGGCATAAGGTGGGGGTGAGGGGAGGAAGAAAAACCATATTTTCAAAGCTAAAACATTCGAGTCAAAAATTGGAAAAATGTTCTAAACTAGATTTTGGAAAATACTTCAAATGTTTTGTGACTGTGGCTTTGGTCTGTGGGTTGTTTTTTTTCTTCTGCCAGCTTTGCATGGGATCCTCAATTCCCATTTAGAAAAACAAAAGAAATGGGCAGAAGAGAGAGACTAGTTTAATGTCTTCTTAAATAAAGAACCCCTGTTTCAACATTGGGTTCTCACTCTACTCCTGGCTGAGCTTGGAATTCAGCCTTTTATCTTCCAGGGCCATAAGTGAGGCTGTTACCCCCAAAGAAGGGAGTTGGATGTTACTAGGTTATCCAGTGTAGCGGTGCTTTGCTATCTTTAGCAGTAACCTGCTGTGATACTTCCTGGGGTTCCCAGGGTTGTGAGGCACCTCACTACCACCAGCCTTTAACACGAAGAAGCCTTGTCTGTGTCTGCTGGGGGTCAGCTCCCCATCTCCATTGGCCATGGGCAACACAAGCACTATCTTCCAGGCCTGTACAGGCCTCACACTCTCTCTCCAGGTTAGCTATAGGCACGCTCCAACCCCTGAGCCCTCTGAGTGCACCTCCAGAGTGGTCAAGCCCTGTCTCACTGAACACTCACAGTATTTGCAGATTTGCTGCTCCCAAAGAAGCAGTACTCCGCCGCTTACCAGTTCCACTTCAGATCACTGCTCTGCTTCACACACAGCACTTAGATGTGATTATAGTGAAATCAAGTAAAAGTTTATTTAATAAACTATAGAGATTCAAGAAGTAGCAAGTCCAAGTACTGGAAACACATGGTTACAAGTAAAATAAGATCATAACTTGCATTCTAAAGCCTAGACTTAACTAACAAGGTACTTTTTTCTCTAATGAAGTTTAGCTCACTGAAAGTCTTTGCAGCATTTTCCAACCAGGTTGGCTGTGGCCCTCCTTTCATAAGGCAGGACACAATGATAGTTCTTCTCCTCAGTGAAAGATCCAGGCCATATCTCAGTTATACTCCTACAATCTGTGTCTTTACTTGTAAACATGATCCTCCCTGCTATGTTCCCCCACCTTTTTTCCTGCAACTTTTATTTCTCATGATTTCACAATCTCTCGATTAGCACCAGGCTCAGTAATGCAAATAGTCCTCCATTGTGAAGCAGACAATACGCTATACACACATGACCAGACAAAAATAAGCATCTCTTCCCTCATAACTGACAGGTGCATGTTTATCACGAAGGATACAGTTCTGTCATGGAGGTCAAGGATTCTGTGACTTCCGGGAACTTCATGACTACTTCTGGGGCAGGGTTGGAGCAGTTGTGAGCCCGGGGGCTGCCGGAGCAGCAGCCACCGGAGTAGCTGACCAGCGGCCAGTCCTGGGGCTACCGGAGCAATGGCTGGGGTTGGGTCAGCCCCCCTGGGCCTGGAGCAGCAGTGGTCAGCCCCTGCCAGAGGAGCAGCAGCGGGCCTGGAGCAGCTGCAACCCCAGGAGCACTCTGTTTGCCTCTCCCCCACCTCCTCCTATATATTTTTAGTAAAAGTCAGGGACAGGTCATGGGCTTCTGTGAATTTTTGTTTATTGCCCGCAACCTATCCCTAACTTTTACTAAAAATACCCGTGACAGAATCTTAATCTTATTTATTGCCTTCTGGTGACCTACTTTAACTCACAGACCTTAATAACATATTTTTCAGTACAGATACATAATTTCTTAAACATTATCCATACAGACATTTTGCAATGATCGTGATGACCAGTGGGCAGTTGGCTCTTGGTAGAAAGGACCTCGCATGCCTCTCTTTAGTAAACTTAATCTGCATATTCTTGAGCCAGGGAATCCCTGTTAAAACTCTGTGCCTTGCTCTGCCATCTGCCAGTTGGCACAAAGAGCTTCCTGGATCACGCCCGCCATTAAACCAAACAGTGAAATGAAGTCCATGTGGGGGCAGACAGATCTGACTGTCACTTGGATCCCTCGTTTTGCTGGGTTACCTGGAGAAGAGCTAGTGTTATGTTTGCTGTGTGAATCTAAATTGTGTTATGTTTGCCTCTGTGAAAGGTTGCTCCCAGATCTTGTCACAGTTACCTTACTTTGACAAGAGGCACCTTAGGGGAAAAATTAGCCCAAGTTCTGTGGAATGCTTGAGAGATTTGTGTCAATGATTTACTAATGCACTCTCTCTGAGAAGGTGAATGGTTGTTAGCATAATCTATAGAGATCAGCCTACGATGGCTGCTCATTACAAATCCAGTTCTGCCCTCTGACACCAGTGCCTCCTTGCTGAAGTAAACCCGATTTCATGGACGTGGAAACTGCACCCATTTTTCTCTGCTTCTAAGAAAGAAGCACTTCTGTGAATAAATGTAAACTCTGACATGTACTTAAGTTTTTAGTTACAGTTGGCATTTCTGAGCCAAAAGCTGGGGGAGACCATTTTGCTAAAGAGCACTGTCACTTGTGATGCTAGTAGTATGAGAGCCCAGTGAGATGAAATGAAGTCCGTTTCCAGCTTGCTTTAGTATTAAACATCTGAAGAAAACTTAAGATACAATATATTAAAAATGAGTTCTATGGTTAAACCTTTATCCAAGCAGACTAGAGACAGGGGGTATGTGATGTCTATAGTGCAGTCACGGTGTCTGATTGCGTCCTGTGTAAACATACACAAGCTAGTTCACATACTGGAGCAGTGAAGCTATGGCAGCATGTCCTAGCTGAATAATGACTAGCATGTCATAGTGAGCCATCCATGCAAGTAATTACTCAGGGATTCCAGGTGGGCCTTTTACAGCCAGCGCTACCAAGGCTTCACTGCTCCCATCCCCAAGCTAGTTGGACGAAAGCTTGGGTATGTGTACACAACCTGCAATCATACCCTGTCATTGCAGAGTAGACATACCCGGGTTTACGTTTTCTTCTGTTAGGTTAGGACGCTGGCAGTCTCTCAGATAACACTGATTTTCAACAAGAAGGCTGCCTCCAGCACAAGTCTCAGAAATGCTAATGAAATTTAAAACTTTATATTTCCCTTTCTCATTTGCTGCATCCTGAACAATGCTGTTTATACTATGAACTTTCAAACTGGTGTTTTGAACAAAAGGGGGTGTGTTTTCTTTTTAAACAAATTTTTTGATTTCTGAGCATTTAGACCAGGTATTGGGCAATTCCCAGGCAAGACTCATTTACTGAGACTTGTTTTCTTTTAGAGGCTTAATTGGGTGAGTTAGCAAGTGTTGATCTTGATTTTGTTCCATATCTGCTTATCCCTGAATAAAATATTAAGATGTTTTCAGTTCTAAATACTTTTTTTCCAGGAATGGGAAGAAATGACTGACATTCCTTTCTGCATAGAGATGAGTCTGATGTAAACAAAACATTGCTCTCTGAAATTAACTTAAAAATTATTTTTCTGCCTAAAGGTTACACGAGGGACGCATCATTCCTTGCAACGGTGGTTGATATCGTTCAGGGGTTGAAGCAACAGAACTCTGACCTGGTGTACGGTAAGGACTTCATGGCTTTTAACCTTTTCGGTCTAATTATTTTCTGTACACATGTTGAAATCACTTCAGGTGAAGTCAGTGCTCTGACATTATTCTGAATTTCACAACAATGCCCTGTTTTAATCTTGCTGAGACTCCATTGGAATGTCAGTTTAAAAGTGATTTATTTTTTTCTCTTTCTACTTTTGTGCCTTCTGGTGCTTTTCTTGCAGCATGCTAGCCAAAGAAAGATATGCCTTAAGGCGTGATCCTCTCTATCTAGCAAAGTCCCATGAAATCCTATCTAGTTGCTGCTGTTTGTTGCTTAGCAATGAGGGCCAGAGACGTACTGATAATACTGGAAACTGATGTCTTAGAATCATAGAATATCAGGGTTGGAAGGGACCTCAGGAGGTCATCTAGTCCAACCCCCTGCTCAAAGCAGGACCAATTCCCAACTAAATCATCCCAGCCAGGGCTTTGTCAAGCCGGGCCTTAAAAACCTCTTCTCTTGATCCTCAGATACAGACTTCTCCACATTATCCTGTGAAGGTGTCAGTTACATCCTGGAGGTAGCACCCTGGCCTTTTTATTTCTGAAAGGCCAGTTCAGACTCCAGGACCATTTAGTTCTGGACCTGTCTCTGAGATTACATATGAGGGCTGGCAGATGACAGTAATGTTCAGCTGCCCATAGCTGGCCAGGCTCAAAACAGCGATCAAGGGACGAAAGCCTGCATTTCCCATTACCAGTCCCCTGAGTTATCCAGTTCCTTGATCATTGTAGGTACTTTGAACGGCCACGGTCAAACCCTGCAGACCCTTATCAGGCAGAACTCCCATTAAAGTTGCACAGTCAAGTCAGTGGGAGCTTTCCGTGAATAGGGACTGCAAATGATGGCCTGACCCAGTGCTCTTCAGATTCTATAGAGCTGCCTGGTCAGAACACTCCCCAGATGATTCACAAGCAATTATCAGTTGAAATAGATGACTCAGATACTGGATTTAATAAACGGTTCCTGTAGCTAACAGAATTCTTATTCTGATAGGCGTTGGTTTGTGGCGTATGTCTCATCTGAGCCAGCGGCACTTAGATTTCAGTCCCTGACTTTGGCCTGCAGAGCTGAAGAATTGTAACCACCCTATGTTGGCCAATCTAAGGTGTCCATGAGGTGTCAAACTGCGGGGAGGAAGGGGGTTCCTGTTTGCCCCATTCTAAAGCGGAGCAGTGATTTCAACATCTTTTAGGTGAAAAATACTCAGATTCATTCTGATGTGTTGTGTAGAGTAACCCATAAATGAGTGCCTCGTTCTGTCATGATATATAGGTATTACAAATGTATTATAAGTAGCAGACACTTCCTGCTGAAATAAATAAAAGCATCAGTGGTACAGTTTTATAATCAACAACATTAAGAACCTTCTATGAACACCATGAAATACACAATAATTCTGCTGAAATTAAAAGACTCTGTCTATCCTGGAGTTCCAACTAAACCATGTTTAAATAGTTCATGATGGAAACAACATGCCTACATGGTATTAAATCTCAGCATAAATGTCTGATTGTTACAGTGGTTTTTGTGAATTGTTTTATATAGCCTAGAAGAGGGCCAGGCTGTACCATGGCTTTATAAAACCATTCTGTAACCTGGTTAGTACTATGTATACCAGGATTTGGAGCAGTCTACATAGCAGCTTCTACCATTTAAAGGGAATGTGTATAACCTGGTTGGGAAGTCTATCATTCTAACACTGTCTTGACATGGTAAAAATTATTGGGTAGGCTGGCCTAAAGCCAGCACTATAAACCCAAGAACCATGTTTTTAAACATGGCTCTGGCTAATGTGGTTTGGATCAGGCTTTTGTTAGACACCACAACTTAAATTTAGGCCCAGAATATGTGCTTTAAAAATTTTTTTTTAAAGCAAACTGTTTTTTTTGTGTGTGTGTGTGTTTAAAAAACAAAATAAAACACATGAAACACATATGAAGAAAATATTTTTTCATAAGTGGTGGTGGTTTTTTTGTTTAAACCTTCAGCGAAAATATTTCTCTGATCTGTTATGAAGCTCCCAAGAGCTTTGTTCTAGAGCATGAAATCTGAAAATAGACTATACACAGAAACGAGAACCACCCAGTTCAGTCTGATAGAATCATAGAGTTAAAAGGGACCGCAGGGGTCATCCAGCCTAATTGCCAAGATGCAGCATTTGTTGTGTCTAAAGCATTGAAGACAGATGGTTCCAGCCTCCTTTTGAAACCCTCCGGAGACCTCCCTACGCAGTCTATTACATTGTCCTGCTGTTCTTACAGTTAGGAAGTTTTTCATGAGATTTAATATAAATGAGTAGTTTGAACCCATTGTCTCTTGTCCTGCCCTCTGTGGTAAGAGAGAATAACTTTTTTCTCCATCTTTTTATGGCAGCCTTTCAAGTATTTGAAGACCGCTATCATGTCCCCCCTTATTCTCCTCTTTTCCAAATTGAACATACCCAGTTCCTTCAGCCTTTGCTCACATGGCTTGCATTCCATCCCTTTGATCATCTTTGTCATTCACCTCTGGATCCTTTCCAGTTTCTCCGCATCCTTTCTATGCATTGGTGACCAAAATTGGATACAGGACTCCAACTGAGGCCTAACTAGAGCCAAGAAGAGCAGTACTATTATCTCCTGGGACTTGCATGCTATGCCTCTGTTAATGCAACCAAAAACTGCATTTGCATTTCCGACTCATGTTGAGGTTGTGATCCACCACATCCCAGATCCTTCTCAGCAGTGCTGCTGCCAAGCCAGTTATCCCCCATTCTGTATTTGTGCTTTTGGTTTTTCTTCCCTAAGTGTAGCACCTTACATTTGTCTTTGTTGAATTTCATTTTGTTGTCTGTAGCCCTGTTCTCCAATTTATCAAGACTCCTTTGAATTTTAGCTCTATCCACCACAATGTTTGCAACCCCTCCCTAGCTTTGTGTGATCTGCAAATTTGATCAGTATACTTTCGGTACCTACATCCAGGTCATTAATAACGATGTTAAATAACAGTGGACCCAGAACAGATCCCTGTGGAACCCCACTTGAGACTTCCTTCCAATTTGACATTATTCCATCAATAGTTATTAGTTACTCATCGTTTAACCAATTATGTATCCATTTAATGGTAGTTCATTGACCATCTGAAAGAAATATAAAAAGTGGGCAGCAAAATAGCAGGAAATAAACTTAATTTTTAGAATTCTTTCAGTTTAGCGAGTGACACTGGTGCTGGTAAGAGAGGTAAAGAATTTGTTTTTATGTGGTGCCGAATGCCGAGGTTGTTTCTCTGACAGGTTCCCTTTGACACCAATAGAAGTTTGCCTGAGCAAGGACTGACTGAACATTGAATAAGTACCTTGGGATTTGTCCCATGATTTGTATCTTGACAGTGACTCTCTTAATACTGTGGACAGCATTGCTGTTCCAGAACACATCACCAGCTACTGGACAATTTCCACTCTTATTTTGAAATTAAGGTCACTCTGAATAGGCTATTAATGTGATTGATGATCCTGAGACTGCACCATAAATGTCTGTCTTAATCCTAACTTTATCGTGATTGGTACGTGTCTACAAAATCTGTTCCGGAAGAAAAAGAATTTTCCTTCTTAATTAAAATAAAATAAGGCTTTTGTGTGATGCATTGTGTAAATATAAGCTCCTCCCCTTTTCTTCCCATATTTCACTAATTTTTATTGCTCTGAACCGAGGCAGTCGTTCTCAGCATTTTCCGTCTCACAACACTCCCTCCTCCACATATAAGCAGGACATCTCGCCCCCAAAATTTAACAATATGGAGAGGGCAGAGTGGTCGCAACCCTCTGATGCCTGTTTTTGACATCCTCCTCCCCCTTTACCCTTCATGGATCACAAACTCCTGCTCCGATGTACTGCAAGAGTGGTTCAAATGACACAAGTTTATAAAATGACAATGTTGTACCATGTCTGCTACTGTTGGGTAAAAGTATATCTCCCCATAGGGACTACGCGGGGTCCTTTGTTTCTAAGGTTGGTTTTATTTTCTGTTGCAGTGTGTGATCCAGTGATGGGTGACAAATGGAATGGAGAAGGCTCTATGGTTGGTAATCGTCTGCTTGAACCATATTTAGATTGACAAGCTGCTTATACCAGAACAAAGCTACCTTGTTCAAACTTGAGTCTGAATTCCAGTGTCACATTTATAGAGCTCTTACTTTATTTGAATGAACTTAGTGCTTCGGAAGTGTGCTAGACGGATAGTCTTGGGAACTGTGGTCTCCTATCAACCCCAGAACAACTAGCATACGGACTGTCAGTGAAAAATTTCCTCCACGCCGCTCAAAGTGCGTTAGCCATCTATCATTGCGAAGGCCTCTCCCTTGACAATGCCAACAAAACTGCCAGTTGTGAATTGAACACCTGCCTACTAGCAACTAGTCTGGGGTGACTCATTTCACATAGATTTCCCAACAGCCATTAGCCAGGACTTTGACATAGGGATCAAAGATTCTATAGCCTGATACCAATCTCTAAGTCTATTTTATAAAGCAGTAAGCAAACAGAATTTCATTTTTAAAAAAAAGTTAGTAGGAAAACATCAATTGTGAGAAATTTGATACTTCCTTCAGCCTTAGCTTTCCAGGCATAATCTCCTACTATGGGTCCTTTGTGCCATTTTTATAGTTTATCTGCTAAGGTATTAGATTTTTGCCACATAAAATAGCTCTTCTGTTCTCACTTAATGGTAATACAGTTTGCCTTTGCATGTGTGTTCTCACTACTTCAGTTCATGACTCGTGCAGTGTGTGCTGTCCCTGTGCTTTCCACTTGCATAGTCAGAAAAGAATACGATACTGTAAATTAACATTACGGGTTTGTTTTGAAAGTGTTCCTTTTTAAAAAAAAAGCTGTTTGTCACAGCTTCCTGGAGCACCACCACCCTGTTTTTACAGTCTTGATGAATGCAGGTCATAAACTAAAGCCTCAACTCCACAGTCTCAGTTTCTGGAAGGCAGGAAACTGGCAAGGGCAGTGCCTGCGTGCCAGGAACAGAACTAGGTGAGCTACTGGGCCCAGGGTTGTAATTTCCTCTCAGTTACAGAAGGTTTGGTAAGACAGAGCTATATGGAAGCAATGAAGAAAACGTGACCACCTAACCCACCATATCATTCCTGCTGGAAGATGTGACAAAATGACCCAAGTCTTGTTGAGTTAGAATGGACCCAGTCTTGCATTCCTTACTCTGGCCAGTGGCACCAATGGAAGTTTGGCCTGAACGAGGGCTTCATGGTTGAGTTCAATATGACTGTTTGTATTATGCTAGCACTTAGAGGCCACAACTGAGAGTGGGGTCCCATTGTGGTAGGCACCACACACATGCTGTATGAGACTGTCCCTGTCCCGAAGAGCTGACAAGCTTACTAGACAACACAAACAAAAGATGGAAGAAAGGAGGTATTATAGTCCCCATTTAACAAATAGGGAATTGAGGAACAGAAAGTCGCAGCCTATAGTAAACCACAAACATTCCTAAAGGGGTTGGTGAACTTGAGTTAACTGGCAATCAATAAACTTAAGTTACAACAGGAGCAAAATTCTAGTCTAGATAGGCCCTTAGTGAACTTTGGCTAGTGAGTAAGATTGACGTACTAGAATGTAAAATGCTAAGTTACACATTTAGTCTTTGTTTGAGGCTATTAACAGCAGCAACCCGGTAGGCTCCTAGTATTTGTTCAGCACCTGTTGTCTGCTCGGACAGTCAGTTTAATAGAGCTAATGGGCCAAATCCAGCCCTGCTGCATTCCCATTGATTTTATACAACACTGCTTCTATTTATGCCAAGGCTTAATTTGGTTCGGAATCTGTATACGTCCTTTTTTAACGTCACTCATGACAGAAGTGCTGAGTATTAAAGAAACAATCTGTTTATCAAAATCCTGCAGAAACGTTACAAAATATTAGATTGTTTTCACCTGTAAATTACTGTACAACAGACTGAGGGTCGAAAATGAAGAGCATGTGGCTTCCTGGGTTGATACAAGTTGAGTTAGGGGTGGTGAACTCCTAGACTTCCACCTCAGCATGAAACTTCTTGTTGTGAAAAGTAGCAGGCACACCAGGTGGTGAAGTAATTGTACTTCAAGTAGTCGCTGCTGGTGCTGCTCTCAGGATGTTCAGAAATGGGAACACAGGGTGAGGGTACAGGTGGGAAAGAGGGAAGTATCAGTATTTTTTAGGTGAAGACCGTAGTCTCTTATTCAGTTGCCAAAGAAAGAATTACTTGTGGCACTTTAGATAACTGTGTGGGGATATAAAGAATTATTTTGTTTTTAATGTATATATTCCAATTATGTTGCAGAAGCAGGAATGGCCTTTTATTTAAAGATATTGTGTATTATTCAAAAAATTACAAATCTAAAACATTTAATTCCACCACACTCAATATTACATACATTTCTTTCTTAAAACAACCAAAAAACCCACCTCATTCCACAGCTTATTTACCCATATATCATTCTTGGGGCCTAGTCCTGCAACTGGATATCTGTGAGTGGCCCCTGCACCCAGCCGGGCCCCTTTGCCATAAATAAAATAGTGCTGCCATTAAAACAACAAAAGTTTCCTTGGTTCTGATATTGGATCACCTTCTGAGCAAAAGAGTGGGAAACCCAGAAATTCCCCAACCAGGCACCAGCCCCCCTGACACTCCACCAGCCAGTGAAGATGAGGATCTCGGCAGCACTGCCCCAACTCAGCGAAAGGAGGGGAAGCACTGTGCTGTGTTAATCCCTGCTCACATACTTGGTCCTATATCAAATCATAGCAGTTTTCCTTGGGGCGATTGTCCACACATATGTTCCACTTCAGCTGAGCATCTGCCCAGTGCACTGGAGCTGGAGACTTTTAGGACTTGTCTAGAGGAACAATTAGTATGTGGCAAGCTGAGGTGTAGGCCTACTGCACATTAGCGTGCCAAATGCTAACTGTCCCTGTGGACCCTGCTACCATGCACCAAAAGTTCCCATTTAAAGTGGAGTAGATCAAAGTGCGCTAGGGAACTTTTAGTGTGCTTTAGTTGCCGTTTCGCACTTGGAATCTTCTCACTGGTGGGAGGGGGCTCATGGCTGGGAGTTGGGGTGTGGCCTCCTGCCGGGCGGCACTTACCTCGGGCGGCTCCCGGTCGGGCTCCCAGAAGGGGCCAATGCACCCCTGCAGCCCCTGGGGGGGGGCACGTGGCTCTGCACGCTGCCCCTCTCTGCGAGCACTGCCCCCGCGGCTCCCATTGGCCACAGTTCCCCATTCCCAGCCAATGGGAGTTGCGGGGGTGGTGCTTGCAGGCAGGAGCAATGTGCGGAGACCCCTGCCCCCCCTCCCCGGGGTCACGAGGTCATGCTGGCTGCTTCCGGGAGTGGTGTGGGGCCCGGGCAGGCAGGGAGTCTGCCTTAGCAGCAGCCCTGCTGCGCAGCCGGAGATCGCGATCGACTGGCAGAGTCTCCAGTATTGACCGGTCGATCGTGATCGACCGGGAGGTGACCATTTGTTTAGGCTTAGTATAAATAAGTAGTTTTAGTGTTTCCTTTGATTTTCTCCCTGAAGGGATAACTTCTGTTTGTCTTGCTCCTGGGGTTGTACTCTGGTACTAGCTTTACATGTCCCCAGGTTTTAAATACTGCCCTTCATGGGAAGCTGTTATGAATGTGAACAATGGGCATACTTGCTGCTTTATTCGACATGATGAAGAGCATATCAGGGACAACTCCTTGTCTAGGAGAACTGGCTGAAGACAGTAGACCCCCAGAGAGAAAAGTCATTCTCCTTCCCCGGGGCCATACTCCAAAACTGCTATAACTCCCAGCCCTCTGAAAGTAAAGACCGCATCAAGATGGAAGAAGGGCTCCTTGCGCTCACACAGGAACTCCAGCTGCAACATTTCATGTGATAGGGCAGGGGTGGGCAAACTTTTTGGCCTGCGGGCCACCTCTCTGTGGGGAAATTGCATGCAGGGCCATGAATGTAGGGCTGGGGCAGGAAGTTGGGGTGTGGGAGGGAGTGTGGTGTGCAGGAAGGGACTCAGGGCAAGGGGTTGGGGTGCAGGAGGGGGTAAGGGTGCGGCAGGGGGCTCAGGGCAGGGGGTTGCAGTGCAGGAGGGTGCAGCAGGGGGCTCAAGGCAGGGAGTTGGGCTCAGGGTGGGGGGTTGGGATGTGGGGTGCAGAAGGGGTTCAGGGTCCAGGCTCCAGCCCAGCGCCGCTTACCTGGAGTGGCGCCGGGGTGGCAGTGGCGTGCAGCGGGGCTATGGCAGGCTCCCTGCCTGCCCTGGCCCTCTGCTGCTCCCAGAAGCGGCCGGCACCATGTCTCTGCGGCCCTCTGCCCTCCTCCCCTTCCCCCAGGGGCCGCAGGGACGTGCTGCCGGCCGCTTCTGGGAACGGTGCAGGGCCAGGGCAGGCAGGGAGCCTACCTTCGCCCCGTGGCACCACGGGGCTGGCAATCCCGTGGGCCAGAGCCAAAGCCCTGACGGGCCAGATCCGGCCCACCAGCCGTAGTTTTCCCATCCCTGTGATACAGGCTCGCACTAGCTGTCTGGCACCAACTGGAGAGTGAGTGCCCTCGCGTGCCGCTCCGCAGTACTGTCTGAACTGACACACTCAACACCCGCTCCATTGACTGGTGCCGACCTCATACCATCAGTAATTCCATTGCTGACCATGGCACTGATGCTGTTGACCACTTAATCTGAGGTGCTGGTGGACTTTCCTCCCAACATCCCAATTGTGGACGTTTGTGGAATAGCAATGTGGTCATCTGCCTACACTATGCCGTCAGAATAGCTTCCGTTCTACAGTCATCATTCAAGTAGACGCCAAACTCCCACCACCTGAAAGAGCAGTGCTTGTAAATCACCTGAAGTGCACAACGACTCAGGGGAAAAAAGGTTACTTCTCTGTACAGTAACTATTGGAGACGTGCACATACATATCCCATGACTCACCCTTCTTCTCTGCTCCTTCGGAGACTAATGTTGCCAAGATACCATTGAGAAGGAACTGAGGGGAGGTTGGAGTTGCCTCCCTTTATGCCCTTGGTTGGAGGCATAAGGACACATGGGCTGGCGTGTGCACTACCCCCAACAGCACTGCT